AAAGACTTCTTCCTCCTTTTTACCCTCCTGCTTATAGATTTCATAGATTTAAATTTCATAAACATTCAGGCTGGAAGGGACCCCGGAGGATCATCGAGTCCAGCCCCCTGTCCAGGGGCAGGAAGTCAGCAGGGATCATAGGATCCTGGCAAGATAAACATCCAAAAGTGTCTTGAAGGCGTTCAAAGTGGGTGCTTGAACCACCTCTGGCGGCAGTCTATTCCAAACCTTGGAGTTCTTCCTTATGTCCAGCCTGAAACGGTCGCAGAGGAGCTTGTGACCATTCGACCTTGTTATTCCTTGGGGCACTCTGGTGAACAGACGTTCCCCCAGATCCTGGTGAACACCCCTAATAAACTTATAGGTGGCCACCAGATCACCCCTGAGCCTGCACTTTTCAAGGGTAAAGAGTCCCATGGCTCTCAGCCTTTCATCATAAGATCTGTTATCCTGACCTCTGATCATGCACAGGGCTCTCCTCTGCACTCTCTCAAGCTTCTCCACATCCTTTTTGAATTGTGGAGCCCAAAACTGGACGCAGTACTCCAGCTGTGGCCTCACCAAGGCCAAGTACAACGGGAGAGCTCAGGATCAGGTGCTTTCCCCCATAATAACATGAACCAGGAACTTCTTGGAAGAGACGCAGGCAGCTTGTCAGTAGTCTAAGAAACGCTCCCGTGTTGCATAAAAGGAACTCCTTGCAGGCACTGGGGATTACAGATCCTATAAACCAGGTTGCCTGGGGTAAATACTGCACTCTAGAGCTGTAGCTTTATGCAGGGCCTCCTCCAGGCATCCATGTGCTACAGACAGCAGATACAGCCCAAACCTTGGCAGCTCAGGCCTCTGACATTAAGGTACCTTCACCTCTCCCCGAGTTAATAGTAACACTGCACCTGTCTACGCAAGGGATTCCACATCCTGGAGCATTCACAAAATGGGCTGTACATCATATTTTACAAAAAAATGCATGTATTGGGGACCCTCATCATAGGCTGTTCCTCTCAGAGCCCTGCTCTCAATTAGCTCTCCTTTGAGCAGCCCCCTTCTTGCTCTGTAGATGCTGTCAGTCTGTCATTTTGTGGTCCTCCTGGACCCTTCCTATGAGACGGGTGGGGGAGTCATTTCTCCATTTGTACAAACAAACTTCACCTTCTGTGCTGTGATACTGTGGAAATGATGTAATTACTGCTTCGAGCAAAAGGCACTTCTAGAGCTGCAACCCCATTCCAGGAGGTGCCAGCCTCTGACTTTCCCTGACCTTTCCCAGTGCACTCTGGGATTCTGCAAGTGGTCATGGCTCCGGCTCAGGAAGGGGGCAGCTGTGGGAACAAGGCCTAGGTGCTGAATTCTTCATGACATCTGATGCTTCCTTTGGAAATGCCCCCAGAGCTTGGAGCTGTAGTGCAGCCACAACCTGTCTTAGTCCTTTAATTGTACACTGCGGGTAATTTTTTCTGATGGGCAGAGCTCTCCAAAAGCTTCCTGTCCCCAGGCTGTGGAGTTCTGGCCTCCAGGGCTGCTGCAGGCTGGACTTCAGCCACCTCCCTAGCTGCTGAGCCCAGGGTGGCTGCTTTTTATTAGTTTGTTTTGCTCTGTTGGGGCCAATATTTATCATAAACTAGAGGAATAGCGGGGCAGCCGTGGAAGATGCAATTCCCTTTGCATTCCCTTAGCTGCCCTTGCTAGAAATTTCCCCAGGCCCAGTACTGGAGTAAAGGAGGAACTTCCTGAACAACCACCAAAGAGACAATGCTTCTTTTCCCAGTATTGAAATGCTCCAGACTTGCAGTGTTGCTGTACTCTTTCCATGTGGCCTCTCATTGCTTCCACCCCATCCCACCCATAAAGTCAGCTCTTGATCACAGCTATTGTCCCCTGTCTCAGAGAGCTCACACACTTAATTGAAACATAGGTGGAAGTGAACAGCAGTAGACTGGTAAGGGTAGCAGAGGACTTGTTAGGTCCACGGGTTTTGTTCTGTTTCTGGTTGCTGTGGTTCTGTTGCCTGTGATGTTAATGCTCCTTTGAGGAGAGGACTTGGCTTTGATGTTGCCATTTCAGTCACTTTTGTGGGGTGGCCGCTTTCCCCTTCTGCACATGTCACATTTCCCAGACCTGAGGATATGGTGACAGGAATTGCTTATCTCTGAGGCTGCTGTTGGTTTCTAACATTTGGGCATCTCCCACACCTGAATTTGGTCTGCTTGTTTGCAGAGTCACAGCTGGGGAGCAGAGGAAGTGTGTTGGTGTCTTCCCCTGCCTTTACAATGGTCGCTTTAAGTTGTACAAACAGAATAGAGGGCCAGGAAAGAAGGGTGGGGGGGGGTACAGCTGCCACCAGGCAACTGGGGTGAAGCTGGCTTGCCTGTATGCCAGTCTCCACTGATGCTTAACAGACCAAGCACTTGCTGAATAGGACTGGCCCCAAGTAAGCCATCTCATTCTGCCCTGGTAGTTGCCTTCCTGTTCTGTGACATTTCCATACTACCATAGGGAACACCTTGCATTGTTGGTCAGTGAAAAGCAAATGTGCTCAGGGTAATGGACGGTGGGTCTGGTGTATTCTCCCAGTAGTAACCACAACTGGTTCCTTTTTGCACGTAACTCACAAGTGTGGTGCTCTTCACAGCTAGACTGTGCTGGCGGTGGAAGGGCTCCCTTCCTGGCTGCAAGATGCAGCCAAAACAATCCAGCTTTGGGCAATTGCTTGGATAAATAAAAAGTAGGTTGCATCCTAAAGGAATAAGAAAGAAAAAGCAAAGTCTTCCCACTGGAAAATGCAACAACTTTAGTGCAACCAATGAGGGGAAGCTGTTGGGCCTCAGTGCTCTGGAACCGTACTTTAAGGTCTCAGCACAACTTGGACAGCTCCATCAGACATATAGTCTCATAATGTTTCCACGTGCCATTAAGGTAACAAGCTTGAAGCAGGGAGGCTGCCTCTGAAGTATGCGACCCTTGTCACCGACATGAGGGTCACTCCTCACAGAGACTGGACATTCAGTAATGTAGTGCAAAAGCGCATGAGCCTTTGACCTACAGTGGAACATTACAGGAATGTTGCCTGTGATGTCTACAGCTCTCATACTTCTACTACTGCCTCCCCATTGAGTACAGTTGCCTTGTTCTTGTGTGCACAGCTCAGCTCTCACCTGAGATTGTCATTGGTCATCTCCTGCTGGCTTTCTGTTCAGAACCTGCACTCCATTGATCCCATTTCCCTGTGAAAGAAGTGCCTTTGTGTCTACTCCAGTTCTGCCTCCTATGCTGAGGTTGCACAACCTCCCTGTCCTCCTTCAAACCTTGCATTTTAGTCATGGTCCCTCAAATGCTGATCTTTAGACTGAATGCTACTCAAAATCAGTGGCACTAAATGCCAGAGCTGCCTTGGCACTCCCCATGTCATCACAGCAGCCCTACAATCCGATTTCAGCACTGTGCTTCTTCCTCCCATTGCCTGGCATTCCCCTAGCTTTGTCTGCCATTCTCCACACAGTCTAAGCTCCTCAGGACAGGGGTTGTGCTTTCTACTATTGTTATGTCTTGCAGCATGCTGTTCAAATGTAGGATATGTGAAATGAAGGTGGCTGCAGGCTGCACTTCAAATGAAAAGCCTCCATTTCTGGCAGTAGCTCATGAAAAGCTCACTCTCTGCTCTATGCACCCTCCCTTGTTCTGTCTCTTCCCAAAGAGCTCTGTGCTGTTTCCCTCAGCATCCATTTGCTGACCCCTCAGATTCGTATAACTGGGCTGGCTTCTTGAAGCTGGGACTTTGCAGGACATCCAGTGGCTTGCGGTTGCACCCCAGGAGGAGAGGGCTTGCAGGCTGAGTTCAGGAGAAATGCTTGCAGCTGTTCTGCTAGTATCCTCCATTAAAAACAAACCAGGCTGAGTGCTTGCTCTCAGAAAACACAGTTGGGCTGGGAGTCCTCCCTTCAAGCATGTAATGTAGTGAGGAAGAAGCAGCATGGGAAGCCTCCCACCCTGTCTGTTCATGGGATACCATTTTCTAATCCATACTGTGGTAGTACCAAATAACCCCAGTCAGGATCAGAGCCCCATTGTAGTACACACAAGGGAAGACAGAGTTGTTGTCTCTGAGCTTGCACAGTAATTTAAGAGAAGATCAACTCTTGAATGACAAGTGATGGGGGAGGAGATAGGATCATGTGGTCACACAGGTTAGTGACATGTACAGCTTGGCTGTGGTCCTGATGGGGCACTGAATTATCGTAGTTTTAAATCAAATCTCTTTCCTTAATGTGCAGTTCAGCAGTTGTCAGCGGGTGTTGCATTAGAGGCGAGGCTTGTGGAGGAAACAGTAGTGGCCTTACCGATTAATTCAGGGAAGCATTCCCTGCATGCGGGGTTATGTGGAGGAAACCACAGGGACTCCGAATGACTATGTCAAATATGGGGCGTAACCTCGTAACCATCACACATCCTCTAATTAGAGGGAATTGCTGTGAATACCATATTGAAATTGGAACCTGTACCTGGCTCCTAGCTTGTTGGTAGGAGAGAAGGAGAAAAGGCAAGGCTCTGGGGCAGGCTCTCAGCCCCTGCTCGTTGGAAGGAGAGAGAGGTCTTGTATCATTCAGGTTCCCGCTGTCTTTCTCTGGTCAGCCTTACACATGGCACTCTGGAGCTGGGGAGCATGAGAATCAGGGAACATATTAAAAAGGTGCCCTGAAGGGGTAGGGAGATGGGCCAGTGTCACAGCACCCATCTACCGCCTGTCCCTCTCCCTGCCAATGCAGGTGCAGTGCTGATCCCAACTCCAGCACACTTGTACAAATGCTGGGAGCTGCCCCACAGCTGTGGGGAGCACATAGTGCTGCAGCACCTTTGCAGACAGTGTTGGGCATGGGTCGTCAGTGCCAGGGGGAAGGTGCAGTTCAAAGCAGTAAGTGCTGGGGAAAGAGTGGCTGCCCTCAATGTTTTAATTCAGGGTCCAGACTTAGATTTCTCATCTAGCTTCTCCTTCCCTTTCACAGATCCGAATGCTGTGATCCCAGAGCAGCTGACAACCAGTCGGCCCAGCAAGGAATCGGACAACACGATGAAAGTTGTCACACAGAGTCCACGCAACAAGGTCCCTGTGATAGAAGAACCTGGGAAGCCAGGTAATTGTTCAGAGCAAGCTAGGGAAGGGGAGGACTAACTCCAGAATAACTATGCTCACAGAGCCAGAGAGGTGTTGTACTAGATCTGCTATAGATAGAACAGAAGGGAGTCTTGCTCTTTTGGCAAAGCCTTCAAGGGACCCTGCTTTAAGGTCAGGGACTTGGATCCAGTATTTGTCGGGTCTCTGTAAGAGCCTCCTGCAAACTTCACCAGCCAGGAATCACTCACTCTCCATTTCCTGAAGTCACTGCTCAACCTCTGGAGCTGGACTGTGGACAGAAGCTCCCAGAGCCCTGTTCAGTTTCTCAGTGCCTTTGGCAGTATCCTAGGAGGAGGAGTGTGGCTTTTCTGCCCTTTTAGTTTCTCTTCTGTTTACTGAAGCAGAGTAGAGGGCTTGGGAGATGGAGAATGCTGGGATGTTTAAGCTGAACCTATGTGAGAGCTCTTTGAAGGTGGTTTCCTGAGTTCCTGACCCTGCTGAGAGGGAGAAGCAAAATCAGATGAAGTGGGAAAAAGCTGCTCCATTTCTCCACCTCTGATACAGACAGGCCAAACAGCCTCCCCTCAGGGGCCTGGGGCAGCCTTGGCCTGGGGTCAGAGAGAGGTGGGGGTCAGTAACAGGATATGGCAGGTCTGCACAGGCTTCAGAACCCACTTCCATTAGAGCACTCGAGTCTGCTGAGGGGGAGCAGGCACCCCTGGGGTTTGTTCTGATTATAGACTGGATAGGAACAATTTTCTGTCTCCAGTCCAGTCAGGGGCTGTGAGAGGATAAAGCACAACATCGAGGTGAGGATAGGATGAGCTGTGAGATCTTGTTTGTGAGTATCCAGGATTCCTCCCAGATGTTGTCATACTGAAAGGGACCAAAGGGATATGGGATCATTGGGTGGGGAGTCCAGCATATGCAAAGGGGTGGGTGGGATAGTGTAGACACCTCAGCAGGTGTATGTAGGTTTACCTGCAGAGTATCTATCTGTCTAGCTATCTGGAGTTGGTGGCTCAGATGCTCCCACTAATCAGATTGCTGCCCATACCATCTTAGCAGCCCAGCTCATCCAGAGCAAGCTGACAATCAGCTTGAGGCAGTGAGGATGCCGATGCTGCAGAAGGGACCCTGGAGGAATGGCTTGCAGGGGTTGCCAGCTGCTTGGCACATCAGAATTTGGGAGTGGTATGGATACCAGGCCCCTACATTGATCCTTGAGCCATAATCCCTAGGACAGACCCTCCTTTCCCCAATGCTGCCAGAGGGGCTGAAGAACCCCTTCCCCTCTGCATGCTGGTTTTCCTTCTTCAATGGGGGAACATGCACTTTGAAGGGAGAACTGTGAGTCCCCTGAGCCCATGGGATGATGGGATTTGAGCTCCACAAAATAAATTTAACAACTGTTTTTCTTTCCCCCTTCCCTCATCCCAGGTTCTGTTAACCAGGATGGCAAGGAAACTCAAGGTCCCAGTGATGGATTCTTCAGCTCCAGGGTAGCAGTATTTGCTGCCATCGGTGCTGGCTGTGTTATCTTCATCCTCATCATCATCTTCCTCGTTGTCCTCCTGATCAAGATTCGCAAGCGGCACCGGAAGCACACCCAGCAGCGGGCAGCGGCTTTGTCACTCAGTACCTTGGCCAGCCCAAAGTGCAGCGGTAATGCAGGCTCAGAACCCAGCGATATCATCATCCCCTTACGGACTACAGAAAACAACTACTGCCCTCACTACGAGAAGGTGAGCGGGGACTATGGGCACCCCGTCTACATCGTCCAGGAGATGCCCCCCCAGAGCCCAGCCAACATCTACTACAAGGTCTGAGGAGCAGCCTCAGCTACCCACCAATGCAAGAGCACTAGAGAGCTGAGGGCCCTGGGGGCAGCTGCTGGCGCTCCCCACCAGTGTGCTCGCTCCGTGAGGGAAGAAGTGAATTGAATCCCATGGCAAGACAAGGGGAGCGCAAGGGTCTCGCACCAGATAGTGGATCACTCGCTCGCACGCTCTCTCTGTTCTCCCTTTGTATTTAGTTTTGTAGTTCTCAGCTTTTGTAATCCCGAGACTTGAGGGTGAGCCTTTAGCATCCTCCTCTGCTGCTTCAGACTGCATCCTGGCTCTGTTACCCATCCGGCCGTGATGCGGCCCTAGCGCGTGCAGCACCCAGCGTGCGTGGGCTTCGTGCCTTTCCTCACTCTCGGACACCACTGGTGACACCAGAAGACTCCACTCCCACTTTGTTTTTTGGGATTTTGCCTTTCAGCTTCCTCATCTATATTTTATTACAATTGAATAATCTTGTGTTTGGGGGCTGTGCCCTGGGTGGCTTTGGTCCAAAATGGTTCTGGGAAGTCGGATGAACTTGGGGGCCACAGAAAAGAGCCTCCTACTCAGCTTGGAAAGGAGCAGCTTGGGGAGGCAGCCTTTGCCCAGGCACAGCAAGGATGCAGAGACCGTGCAGGGAGGAAGCTGACAAACCCGACTTATTATTATTATTATTATTTTAATTTTTGTAACGTTTTTATTTTTGTGAATTCTTGGTGGGACTCTGAGCCGCCACCCTCAGCCATCTGGCACACTCCCCTCCCCCTCTGCCCCACCTGCTGTGGTGGGGCCGCCTGGCCACAGGACACGGACTCATGCCTTCTGCTGTCGTTGCCATCCTAAACTTTTTGTGTTCACAGTTCGTAGCCGTTGACTCTTGTTTTAGTCTCTTTTTAAAAAAAAAAAGAAAAGAAAAAAAATGTATGTCTTGAACGGTCAGTATGTGTGAGAGGGCTCTGCCTCCCCCACACAGAGCCAGCAGCCTCCTATCCTTTCACCACATGGTGACTCTTGTGAACCCTCTCCCCCCTAGAAAAGGTGCGTCTTCTCCCCAATGTGCACCCCGCCTGATCTCATTTCCTAGGATGGAGAGTGGCCGGGCCGGTTTCTTCAAAAGCAAGGGGAAGGTAGATTCATAGATGCTAGGGTTGGAAGGGACCTCAACAGATCATTGAGTTCAACCCCCTGCCTAGGCAGGAAAGAGGGCTGGGGTCAGATGATCCCAGTCATAGGTGGTAGTAGGATGGCACTGGTTGCCCGTCTCAGGCTGCATCTAGGACTGTGCTGAGGTGAGACGGGAGGGAATATCCAAGACCTTAGGCATAGGTTTCATCCCTGGATCCATCATTTGAGCATACTGTAAAGTGGGTTGGGTCCTTGGGTTCAGGCCACGGTCCTTCCATTTGGGAGGGAGAAGAGGAAAACGGGCCTGAAGTTGTTACTTAACATGTGCTCAGGAGCCTAGAACAAGGGGTTGGGGAGCAGGAGAACAGAAGGGAGAGCAAACTATCTGCATGGAAGAGGGAGCAGCTATTAGGTGGCTAGTGCAGTTGGGCTTTGTTTCTGGGCCTTGGCTGGGATAGACTGGAGTTGGGAGAAAGCTCCCCATACCACTACTCTTCTCCAGAGGTCATCTAGACCCCGATCTGCCCTCGCTCATCTCAGTTTTGCTACAGAAGGAAGCTGGGCCTTTTTTTTTCCATTGGCATTTTAATTCCAGAACTCTTGCACATTGTCTTCTCTGGTTTCCCTAGTGACTGTCAGGCTTGAGTGGAGACTCTCATATTGCCACTTGATGCTCCACCAACCTGTGGATGGGGCGTGGGAGCTTGGAGTGCTTAGGCCATGGCACAATGCAGGAGCTCCCATGTCAGTCTCCCTGGATGCTGTGCTGGGCCCTTCCCTTCCCTCAGCCTTTCCCATACATATGTGTGGTGTGAGCTCAGCTCCTTAGATTTGCTGAGGCCCCAAATATTGGAAGTGCAATGCAGGGCAGAGAGTTGGGGGGAAGGTGGGCAAAGTTTGGTGAAGAGAGCACAGAGAGAGCTGCAGGCAGAAGGGCAGATTTGGCCCCTGCTGTGGGAAAGCTCAGTGAAAGAGAAGGCATAAAAAGCACAGAACAAAGTGGGGAGCACATGCCCCAGCAGCTGGCCTGTTCTCATGATGGGGGTCTCTTGGCCTAGTGCCTTCTCTCTCTGGCACAAAGACCTCCTTTCCAGGGGGCAGATTCATAGATGCTAAGGTCAGAAGGGACCTCAGTGGATCATCTGAGTCCGACCACCTGCCTAGGCAGCAATGGTCCAGATGTTGGACCAGGAGAGATGGGGTGTGGTGGAGGGTGTGATGAGGTCCTGTTGGAAAAGGGGTGCTTTGGTCTGTGGAAAATGGCCTTCTGGGACACTGCTCAAAGGGAGCAAAGGTTGTTAGGGGAAAATGGGAGCTCAGGGCCAATGGAGCCGCTGTGGTCCACCCCAGGCAAGGCCAGGAGCAGCAAGACACCCTCTCCCCCATCCCCTTCCAGGCCTCAGCTCCAGGCAGGGCAGATCAGTGGCTGGAGCCATCACTGCCTTGTTAGTGGGTGAACCAGAGCCTTAGAATCGCAGGAAACTTAAGCTAATCTGATCACAGGACCCTCCCTGCTGTCTCAGTGAGTCGCAGCAGAAGGGGAGATTGTTACCCCAGGCGCACGCCCAGCTGCCACCCTGAGACATGGCTGTATCGAGGGGTTTCATTTAGCACCTTTTGATCTCACCCCGTCCTCCCTCCCTCCTTTCCTGCCTCCCAAATGCGCCTTTCCTTCCCCATCGGGACGTCTATGCAGGATGCCATGCTGTGCCGCAGAGCTGCCAGGCTGGGCAGAGTGTTTTGCTGAGGTGTTTCTAAAGGGCTTAGACAATAGTGCACTTTGAGGCGTGCTCAGTGGAGGTCAGCCAAGGTGTCCAGGGTTTTCAGTGCTCTGCAGAGGAGCAACTGAGTCTGCTGTTTAAAATGGCAAAAAGCTTCTCGTTGTGTCTTAAAGAAAAAATTTTCCCCCTTGTCCCCAGCATCCTGTTTCCGCGAGGAACCCAGAAACAATCATCCAGATTCCTCCCGCAGGAGAAAGCCCAGTCTGGGAATGATGATGTTTAAAGAGCTGTTTATTTACAGGGGGTTTCACCTCACAGCCTGGAAAGGAGCGACTGACAATGGTTTTGAGACTCAGCTAGGGGCTGGGGCTGGGGGAACGGGTGAAGGGAGGGGCTAGGGAATTACAGGGAGCCTGGCCAGATGCCATACCAAAAGCAAACACAGTTATTCTACCTTTTTAATGTTAGCTCTCCAGTGTGGTTGCTGTCCCCAAGTGCAGTGTCTTCTCTCCATCACCCCCACCCCTTCCTGGGGTCCTTAACCCTCAGCTTTTAATTGCTGAAGGAAACAAAGCAGTAAGACAAAACTACCAGCCACCAGTAGAGAATGGGGTGCTGCTTAGTCACCCCGACCCACCCAACTCACTCCTTTTGCTGTGGGCAGCTGGAAACGCTTGTAAATAATGTGCCAGGGTGAAACCTGAGCTCCGATCTTTCTGAGCACCTCAGTTTGCTGGGCCCTAAACCTGGGTGTCCCTTTTGTTCTTTTCATTGAAAGAATTGAGGGGTTTTTTTTGTTCTGTTTTTTTGTTGCTGTTCGTGTAAATACTAGTCTTTTTTGGAAGAAATAATGTAAAGACGTTTTGTATAAACTCCGAATTATTTTCTGGTTGCTTTTTCTTAGAAAAACAAATGAGAACTAAAAAAAAAAATTAACCACGAGAACGGGTGTAAAACATTGTCATGCTACGATCCAAGTCAGGAGGCTCGTTCGAGGGCGTGTGTGCGCGTGCGCGGGCATGTGTCCCAGGGGGCCATGGGGAATCGGGTATATGGGGTGAGGCGTGAACTGCCTAGATTATTGGATGAAAATCCAGGTCCCAAAACTGCTCTCCAAAAGAGATGGGGAAGTTGGGGGAGGAGCTGCTGCATGAAACTGGCCCGAGGGGCCCAGATTGGTCCCCTAGGTGTTCAGCCCCTCGCTGGGCAGTATAACCTGGAGTGTAATATCTCTTCTGGTGCTTGCAGCATAGTGCTCCCCCCAAGAATATTTGGAGCTGTGGTCGGCATTCCCTGCTTCGTTGATATAATGCAGGATCTTACTTCCAATTAAAGTATAGTTGCTTAGGACCCAGTTCAGGCTGCTTCCCTCTTTCCTGATCACAGCTAACTTTCCAAGCTATCCCCCTCACAACCCCCAGCCTCCTTGTACCTACTGCTCCAGGAGCTGGAGTCGTATCATTCTCATGTGAAGATCTGATCGTAAGTTTATAGATGAGTTTCTTGCCTTCCTGGTTGTGGAGAAGAGCTTGTAAATGTTACCCAAGACTCCAAGGCAAAAAAGAAATAAACAGAACCTCAGACTTTAATTTTAAACCTCATGATTTTTCAGCCACCTCCTTGCCTCTCCCTCGTGCATTGGGGGCCTGACTCCTCACATTTTAACGTGGGGGCTTGTCAGTGTGGTGGCTTTGCTTCTCCCACCCCTTCTTATTTTAAACTGAAGAGTGCAAGTTAAATGCAAACTTTTCCTGTGCTGGAGAAGGCCCCTTGTGCCTAACTAGAGCCCATGGTTGAATGGACTCATTGGTTCAGTGGGCTGAAGGATCATTGGTTGTGCAGGGAGATGTGCATGTGCCCCATGGAAACCATCTCCAGGCCCACGGGGAGGCTTGTCTCTGCTCTTTGCAGCTGGTTATTACTCTCCAGTTGCAGCTCCTAATGTTCAAAACTCCTGCATTATATCAACACAGCAAATCCATGGAGTGTCACTTGTGTAGTACCTGGTTCTCTGTGGAAGGGGAAGTTAGCAAGCTGAAACGAAAAGGGGCAAGAGACCCTGGTGTTTCTGTGGTAGCGTGCACGCGTGCACAGACACCCTGTAACGTGGCATGCTCCCACATTTCAGAGATGTAAAAATGCATCCATCCTTGGGAGTGTGTGTACATACCAAGTATATGCAGACACACCCTGCCTGACAGATGAGCCCTGAACACCATACGTCACAGCCATAAGCACATTTGGGTCATCTCATTAAATCCCATGATCCAGTATTCTGAAGAAAAAACACTTTCCCTTCCACTTTCCTAGGTAGCAAATCTCAAGTCACGTGATCAACCAGTGGTGCTGCAGCCCCCAGCTGTTTATGCCCACCTGTGTTGGGGCAGAGATGCAGTTAACATCTCCCAAGCGTTCTGTCTGGATCATGCCCTTCCTCTTCCCTCCTCCATCCCAAATAGCCCTCCTGACACTAACCCTGATGCTGCCAGCAGCTTCCTCTCGATTGTAAGAGATCTGAGGTAGCAGGTCCTGGGACCCTCCTGTGAATTGCTGGGGTTTCTGTGAGTCAGATGCAGGAGGACAGCTAATGAATGTGCTGGGAGTACGTTAGCTGCCCTGCTGATGTACTTCCTGTATGCAGAGAATACAAATGCTCTTCAGCCACAGCACAAAGCTAATGACGGTTTAAAGTTTTGCCTTCATTAATGGAATTAATGCATTAGCGCATGCTTTCTCCAAGGCTCTCCACACAGAACCATCCACTCAAGCTTCTCTTTGGCAGGCAGCAGATAATTTGATTTAAGAAGGGCTCCAAAATGAGAGTGCCTCTTCTCGTGAACACTTGTTCCCTTCCTTCACTCTCCTCATTGTGAGCGGGGGGGTATGTTTCTCCCAGCCCTTGAGCACAGTGTCAGCGGGGCCCAGCAGCTCGCTCCCTGGTTGATCATCTTGTGACTTCCAATCACGTTCCATCCATGCCTTTAGGTTTCAGTTTGGTTCCTGGGCCGTGGCCCAGAGTGCTGGGTTCACTCAAATGATGCATTCTCTTGTCGTTCCTTGTCACGTTTCTTTTTAATTCTTTTGCCTTTTACACAGCTGCTTTCACCTAGTATCATATCATCCTCAGTAATCAATAATATGGAATCTGAATTCCATGGAGCCATGATGGAACCTGATATATTGTTAAATAAAAGATTTTTTCCTATGGAAACTGGCTGTCTCCCGTGCGCTTTTGTTCTTGCCCCAGATTCTCTTTGGAAACCAGGTGGTGCTGTGAAAGAGGCAGGGAACAGGTGAGCTCAGGGAATTGATAACGGACTAGTAAGCAGTATGCCTCGGGGTGGTGCCTGCTAAACGTGTAAGCATTAGGGCAGACTGATATTTATTTTGACGAGTATTTAAAAAATGGTCATTTGCATAAATACTCCTCTGCCTGCCATTGTTGTCGCGTTCCCTCCCCCCCCATTGACTGAGCTCTTCAGGGCAGCGTGCATGCTGGCTCCTTTATTTGCACTGCACCCTGCGCGGTGTGGGTGTGGGTATGGTGGGGAGGTGGGGGAACTGCTGCACTGGTTGCTACCACAGTACGGAAACTGCCTCAGAACTGATTGAAGGGGTTTTTTTCTGTCTAGCCCCTGCTTATTGGTCTTTGTGGGAAGTGCTTTTGGAAAGGGGACTGCCGTGTACTGACATGTTCTGGCCCACATCGTGCAATTTGCAAGTACAATTTGGCTCTGATGGGTTTGTCACAGCTCTCAGCCAGGAAGCAAATGTGCTATGAGGCTTGAACTCCCTGCTTTTCCAGGGCAGGGTGCTAGCAGAGAGCAGCTGGAAGGGAAGTTCAGGTTGCTATTGTCTTTGTACACAAGAACATCAGTCCCCAGGGCTGTCAGTCTAGTCTGCTGAAAACTATCCTTAAGTGTTAATCAAAGGTGCAGACTATTTAAAGAACTGGAGAAATTCCTTGTTTGCACACAAGTTAGCTCCCATGCCCTTATCCCTAGCTCTGAAGTGTTTCATGAAATCATGATCCCTGTTCCTTAGCATCTGGGCTGCTCCCCTTGCACCCAAGATCAGAGCCTCCTATTTTGCCCATCACACATGTAAATCTAGCCAGCCTTGGGTTGGGAATTAGCAGCAGGAGCAGGAACACCCAGCACTGTGCTGTTGTATTGAGCGAAGCTGGAGGTGGTACATAGGAGTCTCTTGGGAGAGGTATGTGGGCACAGCCTTGAGGGCAGAAGCATAGGCCCCATTTAGCTATTGATATTTATTTAATCATCCCTCAATGTAACTTCATTTAATAAGTTATTAAAAAATCATTCTGGGGAATGATTTGGTAATAAATCCTTAACAGATGGTGCTATAACCAGCTCCAAAGGAGGCTCCACCATAGCTATTTCTGTCTCTTTATAACCTGCTTTAATATAGGACTTTACATGGTACTTTACAGTAATGTAGTGCAATATATAATAGATGAGATAAAAGTGGAATCTTGATGAGAAGTGTTAGTGAAATGGGTCCCCACATTGCGGGGTTTGGAGCGCTCGCTCCTGATTCTGCTCTACTTGGGCATCTTTCACTGCAAGTGGGGGGTGGGTGGAGGCAGAAGGGGGTGTGCTCCTTCTGTGCCAGTTTGCTGCACATGCATCATCTTGTGGAGTTTGTTACCTGCTGTCTCTTTCTAGTAGCTGGAGAATACAGAAACCAGCAGCACATTGAGCCCCTTCTCGGCTTCAGACTGGAAACCTTCTCTTTGCTCTTACCCAGATGACTGGCTTTGGCATTCAGCGCCTGTCCCATCCTTGGGTGTAACTGCTGTAAAGTATGTTAGAATTGTTCAGGTTGAAAGGGACTATGGCAATGGAAGTTTTAATTCGACAGGATGAGAGGGGAGTGTGAAGACACTGGTGTCTCCTTCTCCTAACGCCCTGCAGAGATGACGGTGTCCTCTGGAGAACTTTGAAGCCTGCGATAGCTCTGCTTCTGAGCAGCTCTGAGGGGAGGCCTCTGCCATTACACTGCTTTCCCTCATACACAAAATTAAAAATCAGTCGACACGTGAAACACAAAGACTGATTTATGTCAGATAAAGTCTTCACAGAAATGATCCAAGGGAATGTGCAAAGTCAAATTCATTTCCTGTGAAGGAGGTTCCTGCTGGGGCATGTTTAATACTCTCCAAGCAGATGCCTATGGGATTCCATCAAACAGATGCCCTCATAAGGGCAAGGGCTCTATGTCTGGTGGTCTTTAAGGCCGAATCACAACATAGGATGAGAATCACCTGTGTATTACTGGGGTCTGAGCTGGGCACCAGGATGTCTGGGGTTGACCTGTCTTAAAGCAACTCTCCAGGCTCAGGATCCACCTAAAGGCAGGGAAGCTTAGGGTCCATGAAATGATCCCTGGGTATATACCTCACACCACTTCATGAAACATTTAGTATGAGTCAGGATGCAATGTGCTGGAGAGAGGTAACTTGCAATCATACATGCTAGACCAGGCAGGAGGACGCTGGATTTGAAAGGAGCTAGCCACAATTTAATAGTTAACAGAGACAACACGTAGTGATGGGACAGGGGAACTGGACTTGCTAAAACAAGTGAATTTCCTGCTGGAGAAGACATTGCGTACAGGGAAGGCCCAGCATAGACAGTGGTGTCACAAGCTCCCTTTGTATCCAACCCCACCTGTGGGTCAGGCAGTGAGAAGAGACCAGCACACAGGATGCAAAGCATGCCTGCGTTTGCACAGAAATCTCCTTGAAGCACTGGATAACAGAGGCCATTACTGGGTTCCTCAAATGCTTGCCAGATCCCTGGTGAGGAGGAGGAGTCCCTTCAGAAGATTTTTTCAGCACACAACCCCCTGCCTCCTGCCTTCCCCCCCCCCCCCCCC